AAAAAAAAAATACATCTGTCAACCATATTATGTCAACCTCAAATGCCTTATAAGTTTACCTATATTTTATTTTTCTTTAAACAAATTTTAAGGAAAAGAAAAAGTTTGTATCCTTCCTGTTTTTAAAGAATATTAATTTTTATTTTATCTAAAATAGTTAGTCCGCCCATGCATGGTATTTTTGCACACTGTAAGAATGACCGTCACGTCCGGGATAATATAAAACTAATTTCGTTAATGTTAAAGCAGGACAATGCACCTAGAATCCAACGTTCAAGGACAAACAAATTGCAGGAACCGCAAAAATTTTAAGCACTCTACCAAATGGAATTAGATTGTGTTTTTGCTAGATACCTTTCTTCAACGCAAAGTTTGTTTTTGTTTCTTTAATTGTGGTATTATCATAGAAAATCATAATTACAGCGGTAATTTAAATCCTTTTACACCCAAATACTCAAGTTTTTTCTAAGGAGGCAATAAATTTGAAATTTTGATGTCATCACTAGAGACTGGATTTATAGGAATAATGCGTGTTAGTAATTTAGCAGACAACAGTGATAATACTGTCATTTTGTAAAAAAATTTAAGGGATTCATACAAAGTCCCCCCTGTTATCTTTTGAACGAAAAAAGGTATCGACATCGGACAAAAACCATTATCATGGATATTAAGTACTAAGTATAGTATACTAGTATACTTTTTGACGTTAAATTAATAGGTGCTTATTTAAGGAGTGCTAAGAGGGTTTGGTTTGACAAAAACTTTTTGTCCAATGTTGATAACTTTTTTCGTTCAAAATAAATTGAGGGGGGACTTTTAACTTGCGAACTGTATATAAATATCTAAAATAATAGTGTAAATAAAATTCAATTTTTAAACCCTCAAAACTCAAAAACTACTCTTCGAAATAATTTGCGTGACATACCGTCCATTTTAAGGACACCCTGTATATATATGTCATTATTTTTAAATATTTCTTTAAAGTTTCTTTTATTTAAAATATATAATTTCACTATGCGAACCTTGCTTTAGTGCTGAAATCAGGTTTAATTGTTTAATTAAATACTTTCCGGTGTTATATTAGCGTAACAGACAACTTTAAGTGCTTGCCTAATAACATAATTAGATCTACGCATATACGCACTTAAGTAACATTGTTTTTTTACTTAATTAAAGAAAAATAAGAAAAAAATCGTTTTACTAGTTAAAAAAAATAATTTGATGCAAAATGTATGCAGGGTATTTCTATATTATGTGCTAATATTCCTAAATGTTTAATTAATAGAGATCATTTCAAGCCCTTTATCCCAAAACATATAAGAATATTATATAGGATCACCCTGTATATTTTTGTTAAACTTGTGTATTTTACTTAGGGCCAGTTTATCAATGTCCGGATAAAGTTGCAGTTAGTTATCTGGCAGATAATCTCCATGGATACCATTGTTCTAACAACGATCGATATGAAATTTAACTGTCAGATAGACTAACTGGAACTTAACCAGAGATTGATAAACTGGCCCTTAATGATTTAAATCAAACTTATGGTTACAACGAACCAATTGCAAAAAATTGGGGAAGGGGAACTTTGTGACATTGAAAGTAACGTTAACCTCTTAAGTGATTGCATAACATGGAATTAATTATTTCCCTGTTGTGGGAGATTTTCTACGCAACAGATTCTCGCTTGTGTTTTAGGTGCGGTTTTTTTTCAGTCGCAAGAGTTCATTGAAGTTTAATATGTTTTTTGTCGAGTTTAAGAATAATAAACAGAAAAAGTAGATTAAGAATGTATTGATTTTTTTAGTTATATAATTTGTATGGCCATTATTATTTTAAAAATCTACAAAAAACGAAACATTTAGCAATTACCTCATAATCAGAAATTTTAAATATAAAAATAATAATTTCATCAACAATATTGTGAAAAAAATATTACTTTGCATTAGTTATCAGTGCGTTGTCTAATATATTTTTAACACGTGTATGTAAAAATTGGCGATAACGAAATCATTTTTACAAATTTTAAGGCAACGACTTCTTACTAATGATAAAACGCAATTATATTAATAAGAAAATAATTCTATTTAATAGTAAACATATTAATAATCTCCTCGAATTTGCAATTACTAATGTTTTTATATTTTTAAATAATGAATTGGATTTTGTACTGTTTGTTTAGTAAAATTTACAGTTTCTATACCGGGTGTCACATAAATCAGTCAATTCAAGCTATCGATTTCATAAATTATTATATACGAGGTGTGTTCAGAAAATAACGAGAATTGTTCAATTTCGCGGGTTGGGAGGGTCCGGTTGTCATAAAATTTTCTTTATTATGTTGGTATACATGCCCCTGAAGTATGATAAAAACTTTAGCTGTTTTAATTGTTTACTTTGCCTGTGGCAGTCGCTAAGGTTAGACGTGTTTTATGAAATCGGAGATTTTTCGTTCGTTAAAAGAAATGGATCAAAGAATTTGTATCCAATTTTGCTTAAAAAATGAAATAAATTCTGTGAAATGTTAAAAAAGGCCTATAGTGAGTCTGCTATAAGTAAAACAAGAGTTTACAAGTGGTATAAGAGTTACCAAGAAGATGACGAACGCCCCGAACGCACAATCACATTAACAACCGATAAAAACATGGAAAAAGAGAGAGAAGTCGCTGATGCTATTATCGATTGGCTCATCCCATGAAATTTTTTCGAATGTTTTGGGTATGAAACGCGTGGCAGCAAAATTTGTTCTAAAATTGTTAAATTTTGAACAAAATTTTTGGCCAAAAACAATACTGTAATGATGCCCCAGCCTCCATATTCGCCAGACATGCCTCTGTCTGACTTTTTCCTATTCCCAAAAATAAAGAGAACCTTAAAGGGCCGTCGTTTTGCAAGCATAGATGGCATTAAAAGCGAATCGCTGAAAGAACAAAAGGGTATCCCAAAGATCGAGTTTTAGAAGTGTTTCGAGTATGGCACATGTGGGGACTATTTAAAATGAAAATTCCCGATATTTTCTGAACACACCTCGTATACAGCCATCTGCAAATGGTTCACATGTGTTTGGTGTTTCTTAACAATATTAAAAAAACTGCCTTTTCTTATTTATAATTATATTTTTTCAGTTTTTATTTTTATTTAAAATGTGGTTTTACCGTAGTGATAAAATTGCAATTAGTATATAATAATATAATAATTAGTATATAATAATATATATATAGGGATATTATCTTGTTGTACGCAAACTTTTTATTTGATTAACAAAAATACTTATAATTATTGATAACGAGGTCGCTAACCCCACTGCAACAGTTTAGAATTCGCGAAAACATACTTAAATGTACATATGTACATATATATTTTTTAAATAAAATTACGCACGATATAAATAACAATCTTATCTAAATTTTTTACAACACGTTTATTAAAATTTATTTACAATACATTGATGCCAAATGTGCATTTAATAATAGTACATTCCTTAACAAGTGCAGAAGAAGGCGAGTTTTGGCATTCACAAGCTTTTCTGCATAAGTGGAGAAAATGCGAGTTTTACAAATCGAGGGCGACTTTCGCCATGGCGTTAAGAAAAAATATTAACATTAAGAAACAAATGCAATTTTTTATATAAAACGATTAAAATCGTTTAAGAGGCAATATTTTTAAAAAAATATTTCCATAGTCTAGTCATTTTTAAATAATTTTTTTAAGAAAAAGCAACTTTTAGAATACTTTTAAAAAAAATATTCTCGTGTTTTTAGAGGAACATTTATCAATAATTTTTCAATTATTATACACTTTAACAACAATACTGCAGGTTAGTCATAGATAAGATGTGTTAGTTTCGTTGAAAATTGAGGTTTTGTTTACTTTTGGTACTACCAACTGCAGAATAAATCCCTAAATCGCAATATAAATTATAATTCGAAAATTTTTTAAAAAATTTTGGCAAATAGAAGAAATAGTTTAAATACGTCTTATGATAAATTCGTTCTTTTATAGACTAGTAGTATAGACCAGTTAAGAAAACAGTTTTGGCTATATAAAGTATTATAAACTATATAATAAATAAATAAATACCTAGGTTAATACTTTTAAAATAATTATTATTGTTTACGATACCTACAAGTCAGTATTTGAGTATTTTTAATTAAACTATTTTAAAGTGTTCATTCAAAATACTGGATATTTTTTTATGAAAAAAACTGGGTGACATAATTTTATATTTTTTATTTTTAACTTTATGTCATAAATTATTCATGTTATTTCAGAAAAACCCAAATCTAACATTTTATAAAACTCAAGGAAAGGCTTACTTACTTATTTATAGAAATTAATTTTGTGTCACATTAAACCACAAAAACAAATAAAACACGGAATTAATAATGTCCTTGCACTTTACAACAACCAAAACTTAAAAACAAATCTAATGTTATTTATATTTACTTAATGAATAAAAAATAAATAATAAAAGTAAAAATTTTCTAAAATATAGATTTAAATAAACATAAACACAATTTACCTTGAACAGTACATTCATTAATTAGGTAAAAACTACTTAAAATTGTCAAAGTACTTTTGAAAACACTGAAAAGATTGATATAACCTTTACACCAATACAACAACAATAAATTAATTTATTTTAAATGCCAACTAAAACCAATACTACAAGAAACAAACAAAAAAAAGTATAAGAAAAAACGTAAACAATATACATATGCATTTACAATATTATTGCGTTGAAATGCTTTTACCGGATAATAAAAAGGATAACACCAAGGAATACTCTATATTGAATTTGATATGTAAATTGGACTTATATGACACTGTGGGAAGCCAAAATGAAATAAATTTTTACGAAGTATTCTGCGGGTACAACATAAAAAGCCGGCAGGTTTAAAAAACATTTACCAAAAACGTATTATGTATTTCTAATCAAAACAAACATGACCGCTTGCTTATGAGCTTAGGTTGAATTAAAATATAAAACAAGTTTTTACCTCGCATTTCCATCATAAAATTGCACACGCCAAAATCGTCCTTGCACTTTTAAAACATAGTTGCTGAAGCTGAAAAATCCTTCTGAAAATTTTGACACGTATACGAAAACCGAACTGCAATAGATACCTAAAGAACTATTTCTAGCAACCAGGAAAAAAATGTTTTGCTTGAACCTGCGTATTGCCAAAAATTATGACGGCGATTTTAGATCAGCAGAGGAGGGGGACATATTCGCATAGAACCGCATTACATAAGCAAAGTGGTGTTGCACGCCGCATATCTGGCCTAGCAAGGTTACACGCGCCGACCGTTGTAATTTTCGGGAGGTCCTAAATTTATTATTATCACGATGATTAACATTATTATGGGCAATATTGTTATTTTTCCAACCGATATAATCTATAGGTATACTGCCCTACTATGGAGAAAGGCAGTATAAAAAATATAAAAAAAAATTTAAAATGCGTTTTCTTGTGCTATGTTAAAGCTATGGACTAGTAACCGAATTTAACAGGGAAATGCAGTCAAATATGTCATAAGTTAAAAAAATCAATAAAATACCTACTGATATTTATAAAAATGTGGTTTATGCTAATTTTCCACAAATTTCTTGTTTAGCACTTACTGCCTTTCTCCATAGTAGGGCAGTATACGGGCAAGTCGGTAAATACGGCCAATTAAAATAAGGCAAAATTAAAACTAAAAATAAATTCTTTTTTATTTCAAATATTTCTATAACGGGAAAAAAATAATAATTCTTAATTGAGAAAAACAATAAAAAAATAGATAAACTATAAAATTGTCAAGGTCGGTATTTTCAGACATTATCGACCACACTGAAAGAAATTTGTTGCTAAAAGTAAATACAAATTTATACTAAAAATTTTATACTAGTGCTTTACACATTTATACTACTGTTTATTATGAATGTATGTTAAATTTTGTAATACATTTATTGTAAAGAAGATATGTTAGATCTAAATAAAAATAAACTTACCCTTACTATAAAATGTAAACTATAAGTGAATTACAGCAAAAAAATATTGCTAGAAACACATTTATATTGCTAGGGCAGCAATAGGCTGCTAACCAAACGAATATATTTGTTTTAGCAATGTATGTGGTAGTCCATATATGAAACATAAAATATATTTGCCCTAATTATTTTTTTATTTAACTTTAGTATATATTTCTTTCAGTGCATGTTGGGGGATAATACCGGCCGGCTAATTTAGCGGCAATTATAACATTAAATGTGACACATTTGTATCCGACAGCAGAGTCAGCATCAGTGCAGGCTGCATGTGCCCAGTTTCCACAATTACTGCAACAGTACCATAGACATTGCATTGTTTTGCCTCTTTTCGCATTCGTACTCCACGATTATTCCCGGTTTTTCTTTGGGTATTTTTGCGGCATTCTATAAAAAATTTGAAGTTATTCATTTTTCTGTGAGAATAGAACGGTTGCCGGCCGATGTGGCGGGTATTTCCCCTCTTGCTTTCTTAAAAAAAAATTCAAACTATTTTGTCGTAGTTTTTGTATTTTAACAGCACTTAAGGTAGTTGTCATGGTACAATATTGTCAAAAATTTTTAGATTATACGCACCGTAAAAGTATACGAGCTTGTAGCTAAGTGATTCATAATTTTTTCGCAAGACTGTACCCTGGAGACGTTACCTTTACGTAATACTTTCAAATATTTTCATAAGTTTTAATCCGGCAACGTCGCTTATGCTCAACCAATAGATATATTGGAGACTGAATCAGTCTGTTTGAAATTACTGCGGAAATAATATCTATATTACGTACAGCGTTGCCAAGTTGTTGTCCTTTTTCTATGGTTGTTTCTATCTGACACTAGTGATGTATACTTTTTACAAATTGTTAAACTTTAAACGGTTATTTATAAACAATTGGACTGGCAAAAATTTTTAATTTTTTTTTTAATTCAGCAAAAATACATTAAAAGACTGTTAGTTTTTGAAAGCTTCCGACAGTTAGTTTTTTTTATAACTAAGAAACTGGTACAGAACTACAGAAAGCGTATACAATCCATGTTAATTATCCAATTTTTAATTGAATTTATCTCGGGTTATAGACGGTCAATCGACTTCAAATTTTAAGGATAATTGTATTGTCATGTCCTTAATATGTATACAAAAATTTAAAATTTTCGACAACTACCTTAATGATTAAAAATGCTTATAAGCTATACTGTTAAGAAATTTTCGAGTTTACATTAGTTTTCAGCTGGCAAAACTTAACACAATTCATGTTTTACACTTTCTGCAATATTTCTGCCTTTCTACGCAGGAAGCGGTTGTACTAGTGGTCAGATAAAACAGTTTCCTAATCTAAAAACGCATTAAGACACACAAAACATAGATATTCATTATACTTATAACGTAAATATTAATGTGGTCGGGATTGGGAATACCCAACTTGCCCCTACTTTTATTATACACAATTAAATATTTAACATAATAATAATATAAATAATAATAATAATAATAAATATTTTAATTACAGATGCACTTATTTATGTAGAAGAATTTAAGATCTAAGACATTGTTATATTAATAGTAATAAGCGTATGATCAGAGCTTCTTCTTCTTCTTCTTTGGTGGCCAAAAGCCTTAGTGGTCTCGGTTTCAATATACCATTTTGACCAGCAACAAGTTTTAACATCCATGCTCTTCACGAAGCCATCCACCCATAGACACGTTCACCCATAGACACATCCACAAAATCTTTTGTACAAATCACAAAATACCTCGCTAAAAGGTCAAAGCTTGCGAAATTGTTAAAAAATACAGGTATATTTCTAAACCCGGAATCCAATTTTGTCCCTACGAGGTCGAAAAGTCATCTATATTTCATACTTTTCATTGAGCGAGCACCAACAAAACCGAACTCATAAAAAATTATATTATAAATTATAATATAATCGTATAATCAATCCCTATGATATGGTGGGTATTATAATTTATAATATATCATATATATAATATATATATGTATATATCATATATATAATTTATAATATATCATATATATATATATATCCTATAGGAAGGTATTATAATTTATAATACCTACCATATCATAAGGATTGATTATACAAGCTCCATGTGAAATAACTTATTTATAAACTCCATGCAAGCACCATGATGCTTGCTTAGATGTCCTGATCATCGCCTTGATCATAAACTCTATGTGAAGCGGCACAAAATCGTCATAAAAAAAATTCCAAAATATTTTTTTTATTGTATTGATTCTAATATATATATATATATAATTATCAATAAAATAATTAATAATTAAATAATTCATAGCCAGGTAAAATGTCCTCGGAAATTTTAAATAGAACCATAGACCGTCTATGAAATAATTTCAAACTGTAGAAATCAATTTTATAAAATATTTAGGTATAAAGACCATTTTGGGACTATTAAAACGAAACCTTATAATTACTTAAATGAATATTAAATTTAAGAAATTCTTTTAAATAAATAGATGTGTTTTAATAAAAAACGGTTAGGAATGTTTTATGCGCATATGTTAATTCATTAATTTTAATATTTATGTATTAAGGATGTAAAATTTGATAACATTTGAGGACAATTTTGGCCATAAGTTAATAATATTTTCAGGAAAATTGTTTGTTTAATTTTTGCAGTGGTGTAGCATAAATTTTAATTAAAAACTACATTAAAATTATAATTGAATAAATTCCACAACAAATCCAAATTTCATTTAAATATTTTAAGATCCTACTTTATAAAAATGAGTTGTCTACAATAATTTTTTTGATGCATCATATTGATTTAATTTAGTATCGCTTCAAATTTTAGAATTAAACTAGATCATATTATTTTATTTTTAACAACTGATAAAAATAATTTCAGTGCAAAAATTGCGAAATTACTCTTATTTATCGCCAAACCGTTTCAGCTAACTTTCAGGCTTCTCTGGCCGATTTATGTCAAGCCGGATAAAATAATGCGCTGGCACATTAAGTCGGTCGAATCGGTTCGATTTCAGTTCACGAGCATAAAAAACTCCACGTGTATCCTTCCTCCAAACACTGAACCCGAGATCGCGATTTTTTAAATCTTGCTTGACTGGTTTCTACACACTTCCTACGTTCAGTAGGTATTCGCAAATATCTTGAATGTTTTGTTTTCTATTCCAACTCTGTACAGGGTGGTCCACGTAAGGTGACCCATATACTTATCTCAGAAACTACTGGAGTCACAAAAAATTTGTAAGAAACAAATATTCACGAAGTAAAAAATATTTATAAAATATTATATTTTCATTTATACAGGGTGTTCGGTTTTCCTTGGGACGATACCAACTTTCTTATTTTCAATGGAACACCCTGTATTTTTTTGCATTTTTGGATTCTACCCACTCTTTTAGGTATACTTTGTAAATATAATAATTAAGAAAATGTTAATACTTTTTGAGTAAAATTAAGATTTATTAAAATTTCTCTAAATGTAGACACTCGCTAAAAGTTAAAAATAATCAACTAAAAGTTATTATTTTTTATATTATGTAGTATCCATCCCTTTAATAATAAGTAAGCTATAAGTTAATTATTATATTTTTTGGAAAATATCATACAGGGTGTTTTCTATGTCCCGTTGAAAATAGCGATTTTAAAAGTTTAAAATCTTGTTTTTCTTCAATGGAACACCCTATATATTTTTGCATAATTAGATAGAATAAGTAATTACCTTTCATTTTATATATATATATGTCCTATACCTAAACCTAACAGAAAAAAAAATATTCGCATTTTTCACAATTACTAGCTTTTTTCCAATTACCTTAGTTAAATTTTCATTATTCAAATAAATAAATTTCAATAACAACAAATAAAAATGCTTTTATATATAAATATATATTACTATAATAATTACCATACGCGCAAAGCTACTAATTTTGTAAAATGCGAATATTTTTTTTAGGTGATCCACGTAAGGTGACCCATATACTTATCTCAGAAACTACTGGAGTCACAAAAAATTTGTAAGAAACAAATATTCACGAAGTAAAAAATATTTTTAAAATATTATATTTTCATTTATACAGGGTGTTCGGTTT